ATATGCCTTTTGATTTACTTCATTGTGATATTTGGGGGCCATTTCGTGAGCCTACATATTCTGGTTATAAGTATTTTCTCACCTTAGTTGATGATCATTCTCGATACACATGGATTTTTATGTTGAGGCAAAAGTTTGATGTTCTTAGGCTCATTCCCCAGTTTTTTAAATATGTTGAAAATCAATTTGGTGCTACTATCAAGCAGTTTCGGTCGGATAATGCTCCAGAACTTTCGTTTACTGAGTTTTTTGCTTCTAAGGRCGTCATACATCAATTTTCTTGTGTTGCTCGCCCTGAACAGAACTCGGTTGTTGAAAGAAAACATCAGCACTTGCTCAATGTGGCTCGATCCCTGTATTTTCAGTCTAGAGTGCCTCTTTCTTTTTGGGGTGATTGTATTTTGACAGCAGCTTTTTTAATCAATCGGACTCCATCACCTGTTATTTCTTGGCAGACTCCTTATCATCGTCTATTTCATAAAGATCCTGATTATTCTCATCTTCGAGTGTTTGGATCCTTATGTTTTGCTTCCACACTCTCGTCAGGACRTTCTAAGTTTTGTCCACGAGCCACTCCTGCTATATTTGTTGGTTATCCTCCAGGGATGAAGGCTTTCCGTTTATTTGATATAGTTCAGAAGAAGTTTTTTATCTCAAGGGATGTCACTTTMTATGAACATATTTTCCCTTTCCATGAAGTTAMTCTTCATACTGACATAGARGACCCTTTTCCTCACTTGGTTCTTCCCAAGTCGTTTGATTTTTCTGGGCAAGGTCCTATAACCTCGGTTGGTTCTTCATCTGRTGCATCTCCTGTTAYCCMTGATGTTTCTCCTGATATTGGTGTTTCTGATGGTGGTACTKGTGTTTTATCACCGAATGGTTSTGCTCCAATCGAGGCCTCCACTGTTGATGTTGTTAATACAGGAGAATCGTCTATTGTAGCTACTGATTTGCCTTCCATCCCTGGTGCTAATGWCCCGGTTTCTTCYAGTTTAGTTGTGYCTCGTCGGTCTTCAAGATCTATCAAGCCGCCAACATACTTGAAAGACTATCATTGTAGTCTTCTTAATGCTGAGCCTATACCACAGTCTTCTACTAGCCATCCTCTACACCATTTTATTTCATATAATAGCCTTTCTCCTACCTATAGGTCTTTTRMCCTGAATGTTTCCTTACATACTGAACCCCAATTTTATCATCAAGCGGTTCCTCATGCTCATTGGCGTGAGGCTATGCATGYTGAATTGCARGCTATGGAAGCAAACAAAACATGGACTGTTGTTCCATTGCCTTCTCATTCTCATARTATTGGCTGTAAATGRGTGTATAAGATAAARCATAAATCTGATGGGACTATTGAACGGTATAAGGCGCGCCTTGTCGCAAAAGGATATACTCAACAGGAAGGGTTGGATTATATCGAAACTTTCTCTCCGGTTGCCAAATTGGTTACTGTAAAAGTTATTTTGACAATGGCTRTTTCTTTTAATTGGCCCCTAGTTCAACTTGATGTTAACAATGCGTTTCTACATGGAGATCTTTTTKAAGATGYTTACATGGATATCCCTCTCGGTTATAAGCATTMTRTGGTTGCTTCTCASGGGGAGCGCCTTGTTTGTAAACTTCACAAATCCATATATGGATTAAAACAKGCCTCTCGTCAATGGTTTGATAAGTTTTCRCATGCTTTGCTTGTTTTGGGTTTTGTTCAAACAAAGTCTGATTATTCTTTGTTTGTTCGTGGTCAAGGYCGTCGTTTTATMGCGCTTCTAGTTTATGTGGATGATATAATCATTACTGRAGCTTCCKCATCTGATATTGTTGTTCTTAAGAAGCATCTTGATGCTACCTTTCGGTTAAAGGATCTGGGATCCCTTCGATATTTCCTCGGATTGGAATTAGCGCGTTCTGCTCAAGGCATTTTTCTTTCTCARCGCAACTATGTTCTTCATATTCTTGAAGACACTGGTTTCCTCGGTTGTAGGCMTGCTTTGGTCCCTRTGGATCCGAATGTTCGTTTATGTGCTGATGATGGTGCTGTGCTTGCTGATTCTACTTCTTATCGTCGTTTAATTGSGCGACTTCTTTATCTTACAGTATCTCRGCCTGACATTACTTTTGYTGTGCATAAATTGAGTYAATATGTRGCTCGTCCTTGTCAGTCACACTTGAATGCTGCTTACTATCTGTTGCGTTATTTRAAAGGAACTTCTGGTCAAGGCATTTTGCTTCAACCTACTACYTMTTTTCATATACGTGCGTTCACTGATTCTGACTGGGGTGCTTGTTTAGACTCCCGTCGTTCTGTTTCAGGTTTTTGTATATTTCTTGGTACTTCTCTTATCTCTTGGAAGTCCAAAAAGCAGGCTACTGTTGCTCGTTCTTCAGCTGAGGCGGAGTACAGGGCTWTGGCTGTTGCTGCTAGTGAAATCGTGTGGGTGCAGTCTTTACTTCGTGACTTGCAGATTCGTGAGTCTTCGCCTGCTGTTCTTTTCTGTGATAATATTGCTGCTGTACATATTGCCACCAACCCGATTTTTCATGAACGTACAAAACACATTGAGCTGGATTGCCACTTTGTGTGGGACAAGGTTCTTGATGGTTCGCTTAAACTTCTACCCATCAGAACTCATCTCCAGCTTGCTGATATATTCACTAAGGCCTTACCTTTCTCGTCGTTTTCTGTTTTGTTGTCCAAGATGGGCATTGTTAATCTTCATTGTCCATCTTGAGGAAGAGTATTAGGACTATATTGTAATTTTGTCCTAGTTAGTTGGGTATTAGTTGTACATTTTATTCCTCTGGTATATATTGGCTACGTGTTATTGAATAAAAAAAAGCCAAATATTATTTACTCTCAGTTTCAATATATAGTAGTAAAAAATGGAGGTCCAAGAATATTAAAAGCTTATCTATTGAATTTTGTGCTAATTTTCAAATCTACAAAGGTAAAAATATATTTTTAAACATAAGTATAAATTTTTAATACTAATAGCTTATCTATTGAATTTTGTGCTAATTTTCATCTATATTTTTTAAAAGTAAGTATAAACTTCTATACATACGCATGTTTGAATGTTGAATTAGTTTTTTTCTTTTTACGAACCTTTCGATACCCAAATCTTTCAACATTAATGTGATGGATTTTTGGGTAGCTCCCTCAGCTCGAAGTTTAGTCACTGTGTGATTCACAAGCTTCCGCTCTTCTTCAATTTGTAGACCAAGTTTTCCATTGAGAGTATCTCCCATGTTATATGGAGATTCGAGTATCAATTCTTCCTCCTCCCTCTCACCGCAAACATAAGCTAACAAATCAGTAAAAGATCATAAGTTCAAATTTTCATCTCACATATTTGTTGGATTAGAAAAATGAGTAAAACCACCTCTCACAATTATATGTAATAATTTTATTTATGACTTCCGAGATTAAAATATTAATTTTTAGAAACTGAAAAATAATCATCTTATTTTAAATTTTGATTCTAGCAGCACTACCATTTGATCACGTAATTAATAAATATGCATATACTATTTTATTTGATAAAATTTTTTTCGTTTTTGGTAATTATTTGATGGAATTCATTGGATTTTAATTTTTTTCATACCTCGAACTTTGCATTTAGAAATCATTTTATCATTGTCATTTAACTTTTTGTAGATTATTTAATAAAAACCCATTCATTACCTACCTTGTTAATAAATGGTTAGTTAAAATGATCTATTGGTAGGTAATGAATAGGTTTTTATTAAAGATATCTTTTGATCTAAAAAATTATAAATTAAATGGGATTAGAAATATTTAGTTTTATAATCCTGTCATTATCTGTTTTGCAAATTCGAACCTAAATTAGTGGATGAGTGATCAATTTATCATTCTAAAAGTTGATGGTTCGATCTCTATTCACAATAATTAAATTAAAAACACTTTTTTTTTTGTAAAGTCATCAAAATAATATTAAAAATTTATAGAAGTAATTTTCAGATTTTGTAGAGTAGGTGGCCATATTTGAAAATATTTTTTAAAATATAAGATAGGGTTTAAATGAATTTTAGTTTTGTGATATCTAATTTCAATTTAGTGTTTACACTTTTAACAATTACGTTTCATCTATCTTTAATTAAAAATTATGAAATGTCTCTCTATGGTTAGCCAAATAGTAATAATTAAAACTAATCGGATTAGTTATTTGTGGATGTAGTACTTTCACCCAAAAAAAAAAAAATCAATATTAATTATCCAGTTAAAATAAAGTCCATTTTATGCAAATTCATTTAAAATAAGGAAGAGAAAAAAAAAATTTTGCCCGCACACCAGCAAAATAAATTTAGGAGCTTCTGAAAAAAAGTGTTTTTTCAGTGTGAAATCCAATTTTCTATGAGTACTTTTGGGTTAGGTGCTCCTCATGAAAACACTTGAAATGTGCTATTTTATAGTATTTATAATTCTTTAATTTGCTTTCGATTATTTAAATTGATTTATCTATTAAATGCAGTACATATTAAGGTTTTAATTATATTGATATAAAAAAAAGTTAGATGTTTAAATTTTAAAGAAATGTTGATGAAAATATCCTTAATTCAGAAGAAGTAAATAAAATCATGAAATTTATATAAAAAATATTTTACCTAAACTAATAAATATGCATTCCACTTTTTTAAATAATAAATCATTAATATTATGTCCACATTAATTTTTTTTATATATTTTATTGATTTTTTTAGGATATAATAGAAATCAACAACTTAACTTTTTATGTTGAGGTTGAATTCACGAACATTCTACCGATTTGATGACAAAAATTTAATACATGGAAATTTCGATGTGACTTTCTAGACCCTACACCATTAATGTATCGCATCAGAAAATTCATTTGTCACATTAACATACAATCTACCGAGTCCAATTGTTGATGAAAGAATGTTTCGACAATTTTCTTACTATTCCTCCCATCCAATTATAATAATGAACATGGATGATAATAAAATCATATATTAGAGAAACTAAATTGAGTTAAAAGAACAAAGAGTAAAAATATAATTTACTCATAAAATAAGTAAATTAGGGTGATTTGAGACAAACCTGATAAATATGGACATTGATGATAATAAATTCATATATAGAGAAACTAAAAGAACAGGAAAATATAGTAAATTAAATTAAGGTGCAATTCGAGACTGACCCGTAGACACGTGGATGAATGCCTTCAATTCAACACATTTTTTAGCAAAGTTCAAAACATGTTTAGCTCCCATTGTGTTGATATCAAGAGCAACATCATATCTACAAAAACAAATAAACACATTTATTATCATTATTAGTGTTACCTTTTCTATATTATAAAGTATGTTTATATTGATTATACCTTTCATCAAAGTTGGTAGTCGCAGCCAAGTTAACAATGACATTAATTTGGCTGTATAATTCTTGTCTCAGTTTGGCAGACTCCTCGAGTACCAAGAGTCGTTCGTCGGAGATATCTCCGGCCACCGCTACAACCTTCTCTGATATCATAGATCCAAAATTCGCTCTCCATTTTTCCTTCAACACTCTGAACAATTCCTTCTCGATCACCTCGCTTTTAAGGCGTTGCGCTGCTGCTTTGTCGTCAGCAGCTCGTATGAGCAGATAAAGCTTCTTCACGTTCGGTTGAACTCTCAAGATCTTCTCCACCATTACTGCATTTTCATGCAGATAATCCAAAAGTAGCTTAAATTAATATATTATGATAAATTTAACAATTTATTCTCAAGACATGAGAAAATGAATAATTATAAAGATTTACGAGCTTAAACTGATGAGTTATCGTGAAATTAACATATTCTTAACAAGAGAAGGGGGAGAGACCTTTTGCGAGAAAACCGGTGGCCCCGGTAACGAAGATGGACTTTCCGTGGAGAAATTCGAGCACACTGTGGAACTCCATTGCAGAGGGGAAGGAGAAGGATGGGCCTTTGGTGTATCAATGGTGGTGTGGTTGAGAAGCAGAATTGCTATGGAGAAGTTGAGAACTTTGGTGTAATATAAAGAAGAGTGATTGGGTTTGTACATTGTCAGTGACATAGGTTTGTAACTTTAGGGCCATAGGTTGAATTTTGATGATGTTTTTGGGTGTTTGGACGCTTTTGCCCTTATCTCGTCTTTTGACAGTCATCATCTTAGATTTTTTTTTCTGTAGAGAAAGTGTCTCACATTTCTACATTCATTTTGAGCGGAAAATTCCTGAATCTATATAAAATTTCAGAATGAAAAGTCGCGTAAAAAACACAAAAGAAGAGAGGACAACTCAAAAGGGGGAAAGAAGTCTACTACTAGTTGTTCGTGAAACTTCTTTATCTAAGGCTATCAATTTTTTAGTGGTTTCTTTGAGAAAGGTCAGAATCTTTTTTTTCTTAATTGAAACAAATCATTTTTTTTTTACGGTTTTGATAGCTCAGTGAACAAGACGCATTAACTATCATCCAAAAATAAATAAATAATTATTTTGTTTTTATTCTCTGTTTCTAAAATTTTTCTTGTTCTTTGAATACAATTTCTTCTTTCTCACCTTTCTCTAAAACATATGAATTGTTAGTCAAATTTCAGAAAAATAATAATAATAATAATAATGAAAGGAACAAACATAATTTWAAAAAAAAAAATCTTTTAGTTTTCAAATCTTGACTTAGATTAAGAAAACATTTCAAAAAAGTAGATAATAAAATAAAGAAATATATAGATGGAAATAGTATGTAAATTTTTAAAAAACAATATAAAAACAAAATATTTATTAAATAGAACCTAACAATTTTTTTCAAATACATAAAAATATATCCTTTTGATAATGAAGTTTTGAGTTAAATTTTCATTTGATTTCCAGATTTCAAAATCTTACATTTTTACCTTTCGAGTTTCTATAGTGTTTCATGAGATGATAGGTACGGTAAGTCACCAAAAGAATGTTGACAATGTCGATTCATAGCCATTGAGCGTGGCAATTAATTTTAAGTGATATGGCTTGCTAATTTGATCCATACTTCATTCTTAAAAGTCTCTCTTCCCCACCACCATCTTGTGCCCATACCTCTAACCATGATCTCGCAATCGAGTTTTGACAACTTGCTTTAACGTTGTAAGGATTTTTATTAACTATGTTGGAGGAACGGTAGGGCCATGTAGATTGAGAAGGGAGAAGAGAAGAGAGAAAGATAAGAGAGTCGTGGGCAACGAGGTGGGGGAATGGAACGAGATATTTTCAAAAAAAAAAAAATAAAACATGTCTCTACTCAACAAGTCATGTTGATGAGCTTAAATTGACACATATCTCTGAGTAAAAGATCGTAAGTTTGAATCCTCACTAATTATAAGTGAAAAAAAAAATCATGTCGCCTAAAATTGTCACGTCTGCCAGCCATAATGGACTCAATCAACATTGCATTTAGTGAGATGAATATATTTTAATGTATCAATAGAGAACTGATTTAAATCTCTAAGCTGAACCAAACGTCTTAATTTATGGAAATATTAAGGTTGCGCTCGATAATTATTTTGCTTTTAATTTTTAATTTTTTTAAAAAGTTTTTCACCCCCAAAATATATTTGAATTTTTAGYCAAATTTCAAAAATAAAAATCACTTTTAAAATCTACTCTTTTTTGTTTTTAAAATTTGTCTAGATTCTTAAAACATTTATAATAACTATATAAAAAGGCAAAGGAAGTACACACGGGAGAAAGTAATATTTATAACCTTAACTTTTAAAAACAAGAAATGAAAAACAAAATGATTATCAAATATGACTCTTTTTTCTTTGTGTCAACAACATGTGGAGGTGAGGTTTCGAACTTCGACATTTTGACCAAGAATATATATAATTGAGCTATGTTCACGGACCAAAATAAAATCTGAATCTAGTATTGCAATTCAAACAAGAGAGTGGAAGATCTCAAACCTACCATCTTTAAGAGAGAATATAAATATCTCGATCAGTTAAGTGAGGTTCGCTCATTTGCATTAAAAAAGAGAGGAATAGAAAAAAGTATAGTAAAATATATATTATATAGATGGAATACTTTATTAAGTTGTTGGCCCATGTTTCCAAGGTATGGGGCAAAGAAAAGGAAGATGTAAAGTTTTGTCAGATCCATGAAACCTAACCCTCTGCCCAATATTAATTTTGTGTGTTCTTCAAAACTTTAAAGAATGCAATTACTTCCATTCCCTACTTTCCTCCTACCACTCATTTTCTCATTTTGAAATAAATACTCGTTTTGTTCACGCTATAAATTTATTTTTATAAATTATATTTAATATTTTTTAGTACAATATGGGGATGGAGGATTGAAGTCACAACCTATTGGTTGGAGATATATGTCGATTACCATTCAGTTATATATTCGTTTTGGCAATTATCTTTTAATGTTAGCGGACTCCGTATTTTTAATACGATGCTCAGTATGCATTATGATTTTACCTTTATAATTTATTTTTAATATTAGTAGACCCCACGTTATTTTTAATACGATGCTGATGTGGCAAGCAGTGAATAGAAGGAGTATCAATACTCCTACAGTAGCATAAATTTTTCCATTTTTCATTTGGGCATTCATTCTTATAGGGAAATCATTGTGTTTCATAGTTTTTAGTAAAAAATACCATTTATAAGATCAACCAAACAAGTTAGATCTATAAATTTTGAAAGGTTAGAAATTTATTTTGAGCAGGTGAGGATTGACAACTTTTGGATGAATTTACTAAACGTAAAGTTACCGAAAGCAAGAATAAATGTCTCCTCGTTGAGTATTTTTCGAGGGAGGTTTTGTTTTTTAATTTTCATTGGTAAGTTTTTCAATTCTCTGAAGAGTATATTTGAATGTTTAGTCAAATTTCAAAAATAAAAATAAGTCCTTGAAAATATCTTTTTCTTTTTATTTTTTAAATTCGACATAAATTTTAAAAAGTAATGTTTATGAGCTTAATTTTAAAAAACAGAGGAAATGGTTATGAAACAAAATTTTATTAGTTTTTTTTTTTTTCAAATGAAATTGGATTATTTCCTAACCAATTAAAAGCTACAAACTTTTTGGAAACTTTTCGTTCTCTCTCGGTGATTGTGGGAGCCAGTTAAGACAAAGTGGAAACAGATGGAGGTAGAAATTGTTTACCTTATAATCTTCTTTTAAATATAACCTTTTTTTTTAACGGTAAAGAATTTGTCCGACCATAATTCAATTGATTATAATACTTAATTTTAATACAAAGATCTTAAGTTTGAATTTTCACGTTGTACTAAAAGAAATAATTATAAATATCTAGAGATAGAGAAAGTAGGTCGGAAGGAAAATTTAAAAATACTTATATTTATATATTATCTTTTAAATCTTAGACAACTCTAATGAGATAATCATATTTTCTGTTTCTACAGTTTTTTATTTAATGACATCTAGTGCTTTTGTACGGTGTTCGTGAAAGCAGATTTCCAATGCTTCAAGATATGTAATTCATTTATTTCATTATCCCAAAAAAATGTAATTCGTAAAATGTTAATATTTAAAATTTAAAAAAAAAAAAGAAGATTCCGTTGCCGGAAATCGAACCCGGGCCTCTCGGGTGAGAGCCGAGTATCCTAACCAACTAGACTACAACGGAATTTGAGAGAAAGGACGAAACTTAATTTTATATTTTATAAATAAAGAGGAGAGAGACATACTTTTTTGGGCTTTGCAGCCACGTCCCATTTGCTTGGCCCAACTCTTTGAGCCCCACTGCCGCTAGCCCGTTAACTGACAAATGTCAAATACAGTACAAGAACTGCCAAATTTTATATACATCAATTTATTCATTTAATTAAAATTATCCAAGTCCATACAAATTCTTTTAAAATATATTAAAAGAAAGTTTAGATTTAAGATAACGATTTTATTTGTAATTATCTATGTTTAAAATAATTCTTCTGAATCCAATTTCTCAACAAAAAAATAATAATAATTCTTTTGAAGTTTCCTCTAAATTTTAGATCTAAAATACAGGTTTTAGTGCAAATTTAAAATACAGGTTTTGAAAAAAAATTCTTTTGAACTTTTCTCTAAATTCTAGAGAGAAGAAAGAAAATTACACTAAATTTGAATTTTGRAAAATTTTAGATCCCATATCCTAACCAACTTGAATACAATGGAAGTTGAAAATTAGTGGGAAAGAAACAAAAAGAGTTTAAAAAGAGAGAGAAAAAACAAGTTCTTTCTCCGTTATTTTTAAAAAATTTTAGTGCAAATTTAGATATTTTTCTATCTAGACTTTTTTGTTGTTACATGAATTATTTAAATCTATAAAAACTATATTCTAAAAAGATCAAGAGACCAAAGTGGACCATCAGAGAAAATTCAATTAGTATAAGGAAAATTTTTCTAATATAAAATGAGAACCTTCACTCMTGTACCCATTAAACTAACAATCTTCTGCTTAAGTTTAGGATTTTAATTGATAATTCTTAGTTTACCGTTTTAAATTTTAATTGACTCACTTCGCGAAGCTGAGTGCAAGACACGTGATATCTCCAATATATTTACTTATATGTTAAAATTAACGGTGAACTTATCGACTTATATTGAATAGTTATGATTTTTTAAGAATTAAATTAATGAATTCCAGCCACAATCAAATTAGTTATAAAATATATATTATTAATCATAGTTATACATGGGAGGAGAATACAATTTTTGTGTTTATACCATTCTAAAAGTTGTTGAATGTTACATTAATTATTAAACTTCCAAAACTGTTTAAATTCTACTAATAATTATAATTAAAGATAATTATTAATTAATTTGATATGATTTTAAAAAACAAATTAATTTACTTATTTCTAGTTTGAAATAAAATATCAACATTTATCCAACTTTAAGCATTCRTGAACATTCAAAACATTTATAACATAATTTAACTAAAAATAAAATTTAAAAGTTTAAAGCATGCATAAAAATTTTAAGTAATAACATAAACTTAAGATTAATTATACAATTATATTAAGAATAATAGTCCATAAGGAAGAAGAAAATCGATGTGTACAAAATAAAAAATAATAAAAATTTACTTGTCAYAAATGTTTGAGATTGTTAAACAATAGTCACTATGATGTTCAACTACATTCAATTTAGAAACATTAAAATATATAAAATAAAATAAATTTAGAGAGTAAGAAGAGTAAAGAAAAAATGTATATATAAAACYCAAATTGTGGTAGGAAATGAGTGAAAAAAGTCCTTCTATAGCTATAGAAAATAAAATATCAAAAAAAATTAAAATGAAAGACTGACAAAAAAAAACTTTAAAGATTCCAAAACTTTTAATATTCAAAATTTAAATATAATTTAACATTATAATTATGAAACCAATTTAAGTTATGATGGAAATTAAATATTAAAAAGCATAACTAACAAGTTGTGAATTCGAATCCCCACATGTTGTACTAAAACAAATAAATAAAAAAAGCAAACGTAGAATTATTATATATAGTAAAATGTGAGAAAATGAAAAGTCCAAGTATTTAAAAATTTGAGAAAGATAAAAGTCACTTAATAGACCATTGTTAAGAGTAAGTGGGTGTTAAATATAAGGATGTTCAAAGATTTTTTTTTTCCTCTCTCTCTTCTCTTTTGAGTGTTACGTGTATGTAAAATTAGTGGATGAGTTTTCATTTATTGTTTTTAATTAATAAAATGATAATTTAGGCATTATAAAAAAATCAAAGTTAAATTTGTCCAAAAAAAATTTCTTCCACGTCCGTACTTTTTAATATATTATAGATATAGATATAATAACTAGTTTGAAATTTTAATTGATTTAACTAACAAAGTTTAAAATTTTATTAAATTATTAAGGATCTCCCGTTGAAAAAATAAARTAAAACCTTATAAAAGTTTATAATATAAGTGGGTTACTCCTTTCGTTGTCAATTGATTTTGAGACTTTTGGATTCACCAATCTTGGATCGGATCCCATTTGACTTTTTCTCTCATGAGATTCAGTTTCTCGAATTTTTTCAACACTTTTATTAGTCCTCAGACGATTTTTTATATTAATTTGTAGAGATTAACAAGTCAAAAGCATGATATACATTTGACAATCTTTTTCTTGTTTTGTAATATAAATAAAAGTTAAAAAAGTTGACTGGCTTTAAATAGAGTTGTCGAGCTCTCCCAAAAAAATTATTACGAAAGTACCATACTTCCTTCCATTTATACAATAAAAAAAAAAAGAAATAGACATCATAATATTTTTTTTACGGTAGTAAAAACAGTAAATAAAAGGAGTATAGTATTCCCATAATACCAGAAATTTTTCCGATCTCCCCCYTAGCCCTGTTGGTCACTTTCCCCAATTTCTCTAAACTTGGCCCTGTTGGTAGCAGACCATTTAGGCTAGTACAAGATGGGCTAAATGCTGTGCCTTAATTAAATCCTTTTGAATAAAAAAAATTTTCTAAGAAATGATTGGTAAATTAGTTCCATAAATAGAAAAGGTAGAAATTTAAAGACCTATTTGGCAATACTTTCGTTTTTTTTTTGTTTCCTCTCTTTTAATAATGTAAAACATAATTATTGTATTTGGTGATCTTCATTTTTTAGTTGAAAAGAAAAGAAGGAAATTTGATTTTGTCGAGAATGAATCATCTTTTTCCCCAAAAATTTATATAAAATTTTAAGAACGTTTCTAAAAAAAATAATAAGCAAGTAACATAATASTTGTTAAATGTTTAAGTTTCTTAATAAAACTGAAAACAAAAAACAAGAAATGTGAGGCTCATTCGATAACGTTCCTGTTTTTTGTTTTTCGTTTCTAACTTTTTTAAGAAATCTAASCATTTTGCAACTAACTATGCTTCTTATTTCTCTTTTTTTGGGAACATTATCAAAATTATATAGAAAATTTGAAAATAAAAAAAATAAGTTTCTTCTTTCTTGTTCCCTTTCCAATTTGTTTTAAAACATAAATAAAAAATTGTTTAATCATACTTGAATTTATAGATATTAGAGTCATGCAATTAATTTTTCTTTATTAAAAATAAAAAAATAAAAACAAGAAGCTCGTAAATGTTACCAAACGAATCCTAAATAACCATTATTTTTTTCTTTCCAAATTTTTGTACAATTTTGAGAATATTTATATATAAAAAAAAAGTAAAAAAGAAGTAACATAATTATGTCAAACACTTAAAATTTTTAATAAAACTGAAAATAAATAACATGAAAGGAAAAAACGTAATTCATAAAAATGTAAAAAAATATGAAAAGAAAAAAAAAGATTCCGTTGCCGGGAATCGAACCCAGGTCTCTCGGGTGAGAGCCGAGTATCCTAACCAACTAGACTACAACGGAATTTGAACACGAAGCGGGACAAAACAATATTGAGTTAATTTTGTTTTTTTATGCGAAATTAGAAATTTTCCAATTATGCTCATCATGTCAGCGTTTTGGTTGTTATATGGATTATTTAAATTTATTTCTCAAAAATTCGTGCAAGTATATTTTTAAAAAATTTAAGGTTATGTTTGATAACGACACAAATAAATTTCTTGTTTCTTGTCTCCACTTTCAATTTGTTCCAAAACATAAACAAAATTATTGTTTTATTATTCTTGAATCCAGGGATGTACTATGGATGTTGGCCATGCAATTATATTTTTATTTATTAAAAAAATGGAAACATTATCAAATAGGTCCATGGAGACCAAAATGAATTGTGAGTAAAATTTTAGGATCCCTTTGCTATCGTTCTCGTTTTTCGTTTTTATTTCCTCATTTTTAATATAGAAAAATAGAATTACGCAGCCCCAACATCATAATGATAAAACAATATTTTTATTATGTTTTGAAACAAATTAAAAATTGGAACAAGAAATAATTAATTTATTTTTACTGTTTCTAAAATTTCTATACAATTTTTATAATTTCCTAAAAACATGAAAAATAAAAAACAAAAATAATACTTAGATTTCTTAATAAARCTAGAAGGAAAGACAGATAATATTTTGTTTGAGTTCCATCATGTTTCTTAATTTCACATAGTTTTGTGATATCCTCTAATTAAGGGTTGAGAAGAAAACTATGTAATTTCATTATTATAGAGTTTTCGTGGGGTTGTCTCATAATCTCCCTACAAATCTTCATGTTCTTATTTTTTTCACATAGTTTTCTTACTTTAGTTTCTTAACCACACATTTAAAATACCAACAATTTTATAAGGAATTTTTTAAGAGAATGCTTTAAAATATTTTAGATAGTTGTATYTGTTTTGAAAGATTGGTGCTTGAGAATGTTTTGAAATTAACAACAYATATATCAATTTAGCCCCTTAATTTTAAATATTATGTTTAACATATATTATCAAGTGCCCAAACTTTAARATTATGTTTAGTGTTCGAATTTTATTAGTTTCTATTACATTTCTTCATTTTAAATTATGCTTCAACCTCATCACTCTTATTTTTATAATTAACATAATGACTCGTTGAGGCATCTCTACCTCTCAAAAAGAGTTACAAATTTCTTTATGCCCCTAAATTTGTGATATAATATTTATTAAAACAAAACAAAATAAAACAAAAACATAATACTCAGAAAGGTATCATTTCTTGGCTTATGGTGACTTCTAAAGAAATAAAAAACAGACAAAATCGAAAAATCGAGTTCGAATTATTTTCTGAAGTATTAAACCAAAAAGCTCGAAGGTCAAGTTGGTTTTGATACATTCTGTTGGTTTTAGTCGATTTGATTCTTCAAAGTCTGATTTTACACGCAGACTCGATGCTTGGACTAGTGAGATATATCTTCATTCATCTTTTTTTTAATAGGAAAAATAATAAAGCGAAACTAAGGTGCAAAAGGGAACTCCCCTCATGTTAAAGGAACGAAAGATATCTCCAACAGGAGTTCTTCACGAACATCTTTAGGAACTTCTTCCATCCAATACTGTTTCACACCACGTTCAACCGCCATCCTTTTATTACACTATATGTGTCGTTCGATTTGCAGATCTCTTGCATAAGAGCAACTCCATAGCTGGGATACAAAGATCATTAACGGTGAAAATAAATATGTGGCTACATTCTTGCAGTCATTAACAGTGGCAAATTTGATGTAGATCAGTGCATATAAATGAAAGTTAAAATTTGAAATAAGCTAAATTGGTAAGACCTCATAGGAAAAGAAATATATAATTTCAACAGTTTCAACTCAGGTAATGAGGTAAAATTAAAGCAACGTGGTAAGAAACCAGTACATATTGGAGGAAAATTGAGTGATGAAATGCAAGAACTAAGACAAACAAAATGGTGAGCTTGAAATACCTCATTTGACTATCTTGTCTCCCTTGCTACAACTTTTTTTTTTCTTTTCGGTATACAAAGGCAGAACAGCAGTTTTTGACACTAACTACAACAGCATGAAAATAAAATGCCGAAAAATCGTGAAAAGATACATGTAARGTATTGACTGATGCTCAAAACTATGAAACACCGATGATGTATGCATTCCAAGAATCTTTTTGTTGAAAAGTTTCGACCTCCTCATATTTCACATCACTTCCTGAGCCAAACCCCTCTATACTTCTAATTTCTTCAGTGTCAGGCATCTGTCTGATCCAAAAATGGATAGATCGGAATCCAGCCTCTTCCAGGCAATCTTTGATCTCGGGTAATGACCACCTGTTMACATGTTCAATGATCTCAAGATTTCAGACATTAGAAGTAGCACATGGTCCATCAGTTAAGACGAGGTATAACTTCTGACATAATGTTTGAGTTAATTATGCTTTATAAATATGGAATGCGTTGTAATTGAAAAAAGAACAGGTTTGCTTACAGTCTCCAGCTGTAAGAAAACGCATGGCGAAGCTTCTTCTGCTGCTTCTGAAGATCAAAATGGAGGCTAATCCTCGTTTTACGTCCAATGATGTCAAACTCGGCTTGTTCCCATATATACTACGATATTTCCAACAAATTAGAACGCAATATCTCATCATTTTTTACTACATTTCATGTGAAGAGAAGACGACAGAAATATGGCAAAGATGAACAAAGTTTGGATAGGTACCTCAAATTGAATGAACAGTTCGAGTAAAAGAAATATTTATATTAAATGTAAGCCTATGAAAGACCTCCAATTAACATATTTGAATTGAGGTGAAAACAGCAAAGCAGACTATTGGGAAAGCAGATTCTAAATCCTTGCATTTCTGGTGGGTACACTATACAGTGCCCCACAACTATTAATATAGGGGGGTTGGAAAAACGAGAGTTCCCGCCCTTTCAGCTAACTGATCAGTCAATACATTTTACAAATTTCCGGGATGGAGCACTGCTTATGAAGGCAAAAGATCCGGGTTCGAGTCCTATCACTGCAGCCATCATATAATTTGAAGACATACAACTAGACAACAACATGATTATACCCAAGAGGTAGACAAAAATGGTGCCCAGCAACTTTGGCACAAGACATTCCAAAAATGGAGTACTATGACTATGAGGTTGGTGAATTTAATAATAGAAGCATTTTACCATTCTAGCCTTCCTTCTCCTTTCACCTTTGAGGGCTTACCCAAAAGAGAATTCAGTATTTCTTGGTCAACTTACTAAATCCAATGTCTACACTCATGGTAAATTAAAATTTCATTTTTGTTGCATTACTTGTGACCACTTAAGAGAATAAAAAACGGATCAATAGTGCACTTGTCCTGGAGAAAAAATAGAACGTTTTTTGAAATTTGAACTCAACAAAATTATACCTTGAAATTCGCAAACTTCCTTTGAAGCTTCAACTTCTGTTCTGACGAGGTACCACCATACAAATCCATCACAAATATCCCACCTTTTCTGGATAAGCTAGCGCGAGCATGCTTGAAATACATAACAAGATCTGCACGTGAATGGAGACAACAACAGCTGTAGTTAAATGCGCACACAATATCTCTGGCAGGCAGTGTAATGTTCCTCTTCAAGTACTTGTTATCGTTGAAAGATGCAGATTCCTCTTTTACTATGGATTTTGATGCACTAGCTTCAATATTTTCTTTGCTATCTTCCAATGTTAAATTTTCAAGCAGCTCCTCCCCTGGCTCAGGATTGAGTAGCCTAGCATCAGCAGGATGTAGTACATTTCCATGAAAAAGAGAGATTCTGGAATACAAGTCAGCCCCRATTCGGTTAACATTGTTCTCCATGCACCACACTAATGCCTTGAGATCAAGATCCAATCCTACAGCAGTCCTACGCGAATCAGTTCGAAGCCATTCTGCACTGTGAACATAATAAGTATTAGATTTCTCATCCATCCAACTAACACCAACATAATGGCTCACAAGTAAAGAATTTGATCCATCTTAGTCACAGATAGAAACTGAAAAGAACTATGAAACCAAGCTTATCCATTCTCGAGCTATTCCATGCTTCATGGTCTCTATCATTGAAAATAAGTTGACCAACACACTAAACTAGCGGAAATTTATTTATAAGAAATAGAAATAAAAGTATTTTATGTCGTCATGTTGATGAAAAATTAAAGAAACTGCAGATATAACCTTTTAAAAATTCATTTATTATTCAGTAACTAAATGGTAATTCATATCATGCACTTTTACTTTATTTGATAATCACTGATCTTATATAATCAATGATTGACCTACACATCAGTTTCCTATGATCATAACAATTACTAATTAACCTAGACAGACATTGATGACTATTATTTTGATGAAGAGAACAACTTTCATTGAGAACAAAGGAAAGAATACACAAGAGCAGAGAGCAACAAGAACTAGAGAAAATTTAAACTACAAAAATGGACTCCAATTTAAAAGCCATTGATGAACCATAATCATAATAAAAACTACCGTGTGAATCATTTTTTTTACTATATTCAAAATGATCTGCAACCACTCCTCAAGTAGTTAAATGTCCCCAAATACAATTCACTAAAATCTCCATTATATCTCAGCAAGAAAACAGAATCGCACCTTAAAAGTGCAGTGCCACAGAAATCTTCTTGGAGATGGATCGGCTGCCTACCTCCCACATACATCAGAAAGAACTTCTGCAAATAGCTTATATCTCCTTTGGGCGACTACAGAGAATAAAGAAATTTCAGTAAACACCCAAAACCCCGTCCTCCCAATCGGCAATACAACTCAAAGTTAAAGAAGACGCCCTACACTCATCAGTTCAAACAATCAAGACGTAAATTCACGAATCCTATCGTTACTTCCAAATATCCAAACGATTCGTCCACCAGGGGATTAAAGTTGCAAGAAAAAGAGCCGAACCTGAACAGATTGTTGATAAAGATGAAATTTCGAAGGAATATCCGATGATGAGCCCTCATGACTTGTTTCTTGTTCTTCCTCCTCGTCTTCTACTTCTACATCTTCTTCTTCTTCATTAGCAGAAGGTGAGGCAAGTGGGTAGCCGTGGAAATCGCCATCTTCCATAACTTCTCCTTCAGAAGTGAACTTGAAGTCCCTCCGGCGAGAATTTGCATCGTGACGTTTCGGCTTCTTGTCTCGCTTTCCCATTTTCCCTCCTTCGCCGCCGCCCGCCCGAACTCTCTATTCGATTTCTCACGGGAAGAAAATGMTGCCTTATTACAAAATTCTTTTTATTTAAATACCGTTCCCTGATTTTCTTTTAAATCCCAAGTTTAGTGGAACATAATTGGCAACTGTCTCAAAACCTCCCCAAATAAAAATATAGATTTCAATTAAAATTCTCTCTAAAGTTTTAAAATTCCTATTCTAAAATATCTTAGTTCAATGTCGATTAAGATACTTATATCGGGTGTGAGTTCGAATTTTCAACCTCACATATTGTACTTATAATATATATATATATAGCAATCATCCGTTAAGAGAAAAAAAAAAGAGACTATTTTAATTTTCGAACTTTCGATAGGTMTGTCTTTTTCAAAAAATCATCATTTTGATCTTTGCTATTGTCACCTAATATTCATTCATCCATACAATATTTTTATTCGTCAACCGATGTAGTTTCTTTACATATGTTTATCACGGATTCACACAGAAGGGTGTCCACACCATCTTCACGAAATTTATCACTACATTTTGCAGGATGAGGAGGGAATTGTCGTTCTAGATGTCTAAGAATTGGGTTCACCACACCAAATTATTCCTTGTTCTTTTTTTTTTTTCAGAAATTCCAAGTTAAAAGTTAAATTTTCACGGTAAATATACATTTGAATGGTCGAATTCCAATAAAATATCCACGTTTGWWMAAACGAACTTGTAAATTTCTTACAATCCTTCATAATACAAAAAAAAAAATCATAAAATGTAACTTTCATGATTTAAATTGTCCATACCAAAGCCTAGAAATGGAAACATATATATATATATATATATAGGAACATATAACAACGCCTTATAGAGGAGTTATATCTATATGTATTAAAAGTTATTAAAAGGGGACAAACAAGATTCTTAATCCCATTTAGAGTCGGTCTCCATTCTCGCATGCAAAAGAAACATCCTTAATCATACATTTATACATATATTTCAAGTCACTTGAGTTACCTATTCTTATTTTTTAAAGTTTTAAAACTATAATGAATATATTTCAAAATTGAAGAACTAAAAAGTATGACATTTGAAAAATTCAAAAATCAAAATGAACCGAAAAGTTTAAGGACTAAAATATATTTTAATGATTCAAATATCAAAACATAATAAACTAACTTTAACTATTAAGACGAGACCTAAATTTTAATTAAAAGCAAACATGTGTAAATTTTATAATTATACTATTTTGGTATTTTAAATTTCAAATATTTTATCTTAATTCTTAAATTTTATATAAAAAAATACTTCAGTCATTACCGCTAATTATTATAATTTATTTACCTAAAATTTTATAATTATATTATTTTTTACCCCATCAATATACGTTTATTTAAGTTAATATATTATTGGTAGATAATGCATCAATTGAATTGGTTAAGTTACTAAAAAATAGATTATGCATCATCAATTAAGTTGAAAAAAAAGTTTTCTTTCCAAGGTTTTAAATGTCGATGTCGATCGAGGTCACAATTTCATAAAAATATCGATAAAATGTCGATGTCGATGGATATTTCTGTAAAAGTTAAAAATTTTAAAAATCGTAAAAAAATTTAAATTAAATAAACATTTTCTCATTTCTAAATTAGTTAAAAATATAATATTATATATATTAGTGACATTTTGTTGATATTTTTTCATATTTTGTCGATTTTCTTATACTATGATGGAAATATTGATTCACCTTTCATGTCGATGTTGGACCTATGGAAACATGTATATGTCGATAGAAATGTCGACGTGGTGATGGATATTTAGAACCATGCTTTCACCCCTACATAGTAAATTTTAAAAAATATATTTATTATAAGTTTTGAAATCATTTGAAATAATTTCTCATCTGAATTTTGGAGCCTAAAGGAAAGTTAGAGAGATCAAATTAGAAAATTGAAAAGCTATTATGAATTTTTAATTAAATAGATGTCCACTAACCCTTGTTTAGTGTCCAATTTTGAGGTATCTCAAAATCCATGCTCCATATGTCCTCTATGTGTCTTTTATTCAAAATCTCATATGTTCCATTATCCATGCACAATGTGTTGAAACCCTAAATGTCTCATGTGTCTCAATTTTAGAAATTATTAGTGTTATGCAAATCACACCACATGCTTATCCATGACCTATAAATAAGGTCAATGTGGTGCTCATTTAGGAGTTAAAATTTGTGAGAAATTAGTGGTGAGAATTTGTGAGAAATTAGTGAGAAATTTGATTTAGAAATTTGGTGGGAAATCAAATTTGAAAATTGGTGGGAAATGCTATTTTGAATTTTGAATTTTCTTTATTTTTGAATTGTTTTGTTTATTTTATTTCCCCGACGTTGCCTCGTTTCGTTCCTCAATTTTACAACATGTTATCAGCACGAGCCTCTGTCATTTCCCCTGTTGAAGGTAGGTTCCGAAGGTAGGTAATTTAATTTTTATTTTTCAAGTAATATGTTATTTTCATATGTTAAATCCCTAATTTGAGTATTTTTTTTTTTGTGATAGTGTCACCATGACAAATTTGACCAAATTAGAATTTGCCGCTCTTGATATCAATGGYAATAATTATTTGTCATGGGTACTAGATGCTGAAATCCATCTTGATGCCATGAACCTGGGAGAAACCATCAAAGAAGTAAATACAACCACAAGTCAGGAAAAGGCAAAAGCCATGATTTTCCTTCGTCACCATCTTCACGAGGAGTTGAAAATGGAGTATCTGACAATAAAAGACCCCCTTGCCTTGTGGCAAAATTTGAAAGAAAGATATGATCATCAAAAAACAGTTATTCTTCCTAAAGCTCGTTATGAATGGATGCATTTGAGGCTCTAAGACTTCAAATCAGTAAGTGATTATAATTCTGCACTATTCAAAATCAGTTCGAAATTGAAGTTATGTGGAGAAAAAATTACTGATAGTGATACGCTAGAAAAGACATACTCAACCTTTCATGTCTCGAATATACTCTTGCAACAACAATATCGAGAGAAAGGTTTTAAGAAATATTCTGAGCTCATATCATGCCTTCTGGTTGCTGAGCAAAATAATGAGCTATTGATGAAAAATCATGAATCTCGACCAACGGGAGCAACGCCATTCCCAGAGGCGAATGCTGTAAATTTCAATAATCGTGGTCGAGGTCGAGGTCGTGGTCGAGGGCGTAACCGTGGCAGAGGAAGAAATAATTTTTCATTTCGTGGTGGGCGTTATAATCGTCCAAATTTTAAAAGAACCACACGAAATGTTGATCATAAAGAAAAAGCTCCACAAGATCAGAATTCCAGAAGTGTTGAAAATAAGTGTTTCCGATGCGGTATGACTGGGCATTGGGCAYATATTTGTCGTACGTCGAAATACTTAGTGGATCTTTATCAAGCTTCCTTGAAAGAAAAAGGAAAAAATGTGAAAGCAAATCTTGCCTACCACGATGGTGATATCTTTGACGCTGCCAACATTACAAGTTTGGATGTGGCTGACTTTCTTGAATCTCCTGGAGAACAAATTGGCACATTGAGCACAATGGATGGAACAGCAAGTGCTTCTTTTGATTTTGAGAATGTTCAGAACTAATGTTTTTTATATCTTTTATGTATGTTTTGTATTTCAAGTTTTTTTTTCCTTCTTCTTCCTTCTTCTTATTGTAATTATTTTGTTCAATGAAGAAGCATGGACAGTTTTCATATATTGGATAACTCGAAAATGAGCAATGGTGATCTATGTCTGGCAGACAGTGCGACTACGCACACAATACTGAAAAGTAGACAATATTTTTATAAATTGACAATGCTGAAAGCAAAAGTCAATACTATATCAGGTTCTGCAAACTTGATTGAAGGTTTTGGAAAAGCAGACATAATTTTGCCTAGAGGAACAAAATTTACAATTAACAATGCATTTTCTCTAGTTAATCAAAGAGAAATCTACTGAGCTTTAAAGATCTACATTGCAATGGTTATCATATTGAAACTAATAACAAGAATAATATAGAATATCTCTATATTATATCTATTGTCTCACATAACAAACGTATACTTGAAAAGTTGCCTGCTTTATCTTCTGGATTATATTATACTCATATACGAGTAATGGAAACATATGCAACTACGAACTTGAAGTTCATAAATCCAGATATATTTACCATTTGGCATGACCGATTAGGTCATCCTGGGTCCATAATGATGAGAAGAATCATTGAAAATTCACATGGACATCCATTAAAGAACCAAAAGATTCTTCAATCTAATGAATTATCATGTGATGCTTGCTCTCAAGGCAAATTGATCATTAGACCATCACCATTTAAAGTAGGGACTGAATCACCTACATTTTTGGAACGAATTCATGGTGATATATGTGGACCTATTAATCCACCAAGCGGTCCTTTCAGATATTTTATGGTGTTAATAGACGCACCAAGTAGATGGTCACATGTATGCTTATTATCAAGTTGAAACCTTGCATTTGCAAGACTACTTGCTCAAATAATAAAGTTACGAGCACAATTTCTTGATTATACAATTAAAAGTATTCGTCTTGATAATGCTGGTGAATTTACATCCCAATCATTTAATAATTACTGTATGGCAATTGGGATAAATGTTGAACATCCTGTAGCTCATGTTCATACACAAAATGGTTTAGCAGAATCATTCATAAAACGATTGTTAATTGCTAGACCATTACTTATGAGAGTCAAGCTCCCTACATCTGTATGGGGACATGCTATTTTACATGCAGCGTCGCTCGTACGCATTAGACCAACATCTTATCATAAATATTCCCCGTTACAATTAGCTTATGGCCAAGAGCCAAATATTTCCCATCTGAGAATTTTTGGATGTGCAGTATATGTTCCAATTGCTCCACCACAACGTACTAAGATGGGTCCTCAAAGGAGGCTAGGAATATATGTTGGATTTGATTCCCCATCAATTATTAAATATCTTGAACCCTTGACGGGTGATGTATTTACTGCACGATTTGCTGATTGTCATTTTAATGAGACAAATTTTCCAACATTAGGGGGAGGAATAATGAAGTTGGAAAAAGAAATTACATGGAATGCATCGTTATTGTCTCATTTTGATCCCCGTACAGATCAATGTGAACTTGAAATTCAGAAAATAATTCATTTGCAAAATATAGCAAATCAATTACCAGATGCATTTATTGATGCCAAGAAAGTGACCAAGTCACATATACCAGCTGCGAATGTTCCATCGAAAATTGACATCCCAATGCARAAAGTTGTCATTAATGAATCTGCAACACGCCATAAGCGTGGTAGACCAATGGATTCCAAAGATAAAAATCCTCGGAAAAGAAAAATAGTCAATAATCAAAATGACACAATTGAGAATGAGGATATTCCATCYTAAACATGACTACTCATAAAGATATTGAGGAAAGTCAAGTATCTGAAGATAATAATGAGATTTCAATGAATTACGTTATGACTGGAAAAAGATGGAACCGAACTAATGTAGTTATTGATGATATTTTTGCTTATAATGTTGCTATTGACATTTTATCTTAAAGTGACGATTGTGAACCAAAATCTATGAAAGAATGTCAACAGAGAAAAGATTGGCTTAAATGGAAAGAAGCAATCCAGGCAGAACTTAACTCACTTTCAAAACGTCAAGTTTTTGGACCAGTAGTCCGAACACCGGAAAATGTTAAGCATGTGGGATACAAATGGGTATTCGTAAGGAAAAGAAATGAAAACAATGAAATCACAAGATATAAGACAAGATTGGTTGCACAAGGTTTTTCACAAAGACCCGATATTGATTATGAGGAGACATATTCTCCTGTGGTGGATGCGATTACACTGAGATATTTAATTGGCATGACTGTGTTTGAAAGTCTTGACATGCATCTTATGGATGTAGTCACTGCATATTTATATGGATCTCTTGATAATGATATTTATATGAAAATTCCTGAAGGATTTAAAGTACCCAATTCTAATGCTCGGGAATTGTATTCCATAAAGTTACAGAGATCATTATATGGATTAAAACAATCAGGACGGATGTGGTACAATCGTCTAAGTAGATATTTGTTGGAAGAAGGATATAAGAATAATCCAATATGTYCTTGTRTTTTTRTAAAGAAATCACAGTCGGGATTTGYCATTATAACTGTATATGTTGATGATTTGAATCTAATCGGAACTCCTGAAGAACTTTCAAAGGCAATAGAGTATCTTAAGAAAGAATTTGAGATGAAAGATCTCGGGAAAACAAAATTTTRTCTYGGCCTACAAATTKAGCATTTAGCAGATGRGATATTTGTACATCRGTCAACTTATACAGAGAAAATTTTGAAAAGATTTTATATRGATAAAGCGCACCCATTAAATATTCCAATGRAAGTTCGCTCACTTGATGTGAAAAAAGATATATTTAGACCTCGAGAAGATAATGAAGAGCTTCTTGGTCCTGAAGTACCATATCTTAGTGCAATTGGTRCRCTTATGTATCTGGCTAATAACACAAGACSAGATATAGCATTTTCAGTTAATTTATTAGCTAGATATARTGCTTATCCTACAAAAAGACATTGGAATGGGATTAAGCATATATTTCGCTATCTTCGAGGAACGACTGATATGRGTTTGTTTYATTCAAACAAATCAAATTTTGATCTAGTTGGATACGCAGATTYTGGATATTTATCTGATCCACACAAAGCTAGATCTCAAACCGGTTATTTATTCACATGTGGAGGAACTGCTATATCATGGCGATCAGTAAAACAAACCATAACAGYCACCTCCTCAAATCATGCTRAAATTCTTGCAATTCATGAAGCTAGTCGAGAATSTGTATRGTTAAGATCAATGACTCAACACATTCGTGAAACATGTG